GAAAATGCCATTATATAGAAAAAAGTATGCTCTTTCATTTAGCATGGTCAGATGTTCGAAAAGCGGCTTAGAAATATCACTTTTTCTCAATTTATAATTGAAAAAACCGTGAAAATTCGCTATCGAACGATACTAAAATTTTGCCTATATTCTTCATAAAATTTTAACTATTTAGAAAAGATCTCTAAAGAATATGCCATTATATAGAAAAAAGTATGCTCTTTCGTTTGGAATTGACCGATGTTCGAAATTCGGCTTAGAAGTATCACTTTTTTTCAATTTAGTATTGAAAAAACCGTGAAAATTCGCTATCGAACGATACTAAAATTTTTTCTATATTCTTCATAAAATTGTAACTATTTAGAAAAGTTCTCTAAAGAATATGCCATTATATAGAAAAAAGTATGCTCTTTCGTTTGGCATGGTCAGATGTTCGAATATGCCATTATATAGAAAAAAGTATGCTCTTTCGTTTGGCATGGTCAGATGTTCGAAAATCGGCTTAGAAATATCACTTTTTTTCAATTTATTATTGAAAAAACCGTGAAAATTCGCTATCGAACGATACTAAAATTTTCTCTATATTCTTCATAAAATTTTAACTATTTAGAAAAATTCGCTGAAGCGAATAATTATACGGTGCCGGGCTATGACAGAACAAAGACGATTCGTGGATTATATACCAGGATTGTAAGTATACATATAATTTAAAAAATATATATATTAGTCGTTTATAATTTTTTTTTTTTTTTACCGTTTGATTTAGGTAACAATTTGTACGGGTGGGCCATGTCACAGTACATGCCCCACGGCGGGTTCCAGTGGGTAGAGCCTACACTACACGGACTCGAGGATTTGGACGACACGTCACCGATAGGGAGGGTATACGAGGTGGATATAGCGTACCCGGAACACCTACACGGGGACCACAACGATTTGTCTTTCCTGCCGAATAACGGAGTACCACCAGGCTCTAAAGTGAACTAATTGATGGCGACGTTGGAAGAGAAAAAAAATTACATCATACACTACCGCAATTTGAAGCAAGCTATAGCCAATGGACTGATTGTTAAAAAGGTAAACATTTTAATTTTTTTTTTCTTATTAATTTTATTTATTATATTTTTTGTATTATTTATGTTACAGGTGCAACGAGTCCTGCAGTTTGAACAGTCGCCTTGGCTTGCAAAATACATTAGTTTATATACAGCGATGAAGAAGAAGGCAGCTAATGATTTTGTAAAAGATTTCTACAAACTTATGAACAATGCTGTTTTTGGTAAGTTCTTATTATTATTATTATTAAAACTATTATTAAGACTATTATTATATTGTCATATAGGTAAGAAAGTAACCCTACTATACTTTCAACTACTTTTAAGTATTATGCTAAATTATATTACCTTAATGGAAGGGTTTATTTTTTTTTTTAAATAAAACAAAATTTATATAGGTAAATAATACTTATTTATTATTTTTAACAATACAAAATATTTATACATTATTACATACAAAAAACCTGTCTTTTTTATTTTTACTAGGAGTAGTTTTAATTCTATCCATTTTAATTTTTATCTTATAATTTAAATCTATATTAAAATCTGACATTTCTTTCTCCAACCAGAAATTTGACACATACAATGAATCCTGGTTATCGAACTGCAATATGTAATGAACTTTGTTTCTGTGACGTATTTGTTTTATTCCAATTATGACTAGTTCCGATTTGTCCAGTATTTCTTCCAAACGCCGACACTGTGTAACATTAACATAGCCAATTATTTCTTCGATTTTTTGTATATCGTTTTGATTAAAAGGTAAATCATCCATGTCTCGTAGTACTTCCGAAAAAAATTGAACATTTTTCACCTTTGCGAACGAATTACCATTAAATGTAGTAACTCCATTAGTATTAAATGTTATAATAGTTTCTTCTGTCGGGAGGACTATTAATACCATACCGTTAAACGGAATTAAAACGTATCATTCTTCTTTAAGTTTTTCTTTGGTGATGTAAATATTTATAAAAACATTTTTAAAAGAGCCTTTTAAGAAGTATACACTTTTGGTCTCATGTTTTTCGACATCGTTTTATTCAGTTTCGATTGCTAAAATGTGGAGAAAATTGACAGACAGTTTACAGAATAGCTGTTGCATCGTGTTTAAAAATTTCTTGCAGTGCGTATATTGGGATAATTCGAATACGAAAAAATTAACTGGAATACAAATTAAATTATCCGATAATCGAGAACAGAGAGATAAGATCATAAAATATATACTCTTTCTGCGTATAGTTTTAACTCTTTACCTATAAACAGTATAGAAGTTGTGGAGGACGAAGCAAACAACGAAAACATTACAATAATACAAAAATGTTATATTAAAGCGGGCGAAACGTTTTTATCTAGATCCGGGACTAGTTTCTCCACCATCTCGAAGGAAGTAAATATCGAGGACACTGGATTGATCAAAACTATCAATGTTATTTTCCAGATTCTAAGGAACAGATCTAACATAACCAATAAACTGTCTGTATACGTAACATCTGCGGGAAAATAAAGTTAGAATTGGAAGAAATAAATACGAAAAAAATAAAAAAAGATTATTTGTCAAAGACAATCTCCATTAAAGAACAGCATATGCATCTGTTAGAGAAAGAACACGAGGCTGCGCGATAAATATTCTGTATTTTAAAATTGAATAGGTTAACAATTGTTAGTATTAACTGAATTACTCGGAATAATCTTGATTATATATAATAAATAGGCGTGTACACGAGTTTGTGATCAATATGGTATAGACATATTAATAAAAATTAATGAATTAATTTTGATCGTAATCACTAAAAATTAAAATAAATAACAAAAGAAAAAAAAACGAAAATATGTTTTATGTATTTTTATATTAAAGAAAAAAAAACATTAGGTAACTATACAGTTTATTAATTTATGTAAACAATTATAAATTCAACTACTGTCTAAACTAAACGACATCAAAATAAATGTATGCAATATAATTTTTTTTTTTTTTTTCTACGAATGAACATTGGAAATATTAATTTAATTTAGTTTACATCGGTATTGCCTAAAAATGAAGACTCTGAGCTTGATCGAGTTCTGCTGCCAAGTCGAACCTCACTTCGAAATTCAACACCATATTTTTTTCTTTTCTCAAGCTTGTGTTTTTCGATTTTTCTTTTCCTTTTATTCATAACAACTTCTGGTTTCGTACCTGTAGTTTACGTACCACAAGTATTAATTTCGATTGCCTCATCGTCTGACAAACTATCTTTAATGATGTTCTCTACAGTATTTATTTGACTCTCATTCGGCCGTGTCATACTTGGACAGTTTGGTTGATGATTGGGCTGGAACGGCTGATCCCTTTCTGTTTCTGCAGAAGGTTCAATATCAATGTTTATAATTTGAACATCATCTTCCCCAGAAGCAGAATTAATTTCAATAACTTCTGACGGAACAAGTGTATGTGACGGCGACATAACAATAAAAGGAGAATTTTCATTATCTTCGCCATCCGTATTCACTACATTCGGTTCATCCCTATGATCTGGTGATGTAAAAGATATTGGTTGCTCAACTATATCTTCATAATTTAATTCAGAGTACTCGGAATACAGCATGGAATATTGAGAGAAATATCTACCATGAGCGTAACATACATTAAGATCATAGTCAACCAATCTATATGGACTACTTGCAAAGTTATATAACTCGTGGAAGAAATGCTCGGCGAAGTTTCCAATACAAGGAGTTAGTATGGTTATCAAACGCGTGTTTGTTATATCATACAATACGATTAAACGCATTATAAATGATGTAAAAACTTCATCATTAGTACTTACAAAGGGAGGTCTATGCGTCATATCAAGTGAAATAAGAGTTCTTAAAACATTTACTTCTCTTAGGACAAATGCACGTAATCTTAACGTATGTGTTGGATTTTCTCTATAAAAAGTTAAACTACAATCTCTGAATTGACTTCTTAAATCGGGTAATGGCTCAGCCCATATATTCTCTGCATATACTCGTCTTCTCATTAGTTCACCATCAATATTAAGTAAGTCGTCNTGAATACCACCACTTGGTGTTCGGTCTACATTACTTTGATCCATGTTATTCTGCATATTGAAAATTAGCCAACCGAAAGACGGATTGACGTATAGTGTCTCAACGGAAAAACACGGCGATACCAAAATGAACACGTCTAACTTTCCAAAAGAACGTGGATAAAACCGCACTGTGACCTACTCAAGTGTAGTCCCAATATGACACTCCCTTGACGCTAACGTGGACCTGAAAAATCACGTCACTGCCCGGCATCTGGGCGTTCGTTTGATATATTATATAATTAGTATACAAAATAGGTAAACAACGGTCGACCGTCGAAGGGAATACTGACCACCCTTTCTTTTTGTAAATGTTCAAACGTTATCATTCATCAGTGATCACATAATATTTTTACACGTTGTATACAACAGCAACTGTCACGTTCAGCAGTCGGTATGATCCTTGTGCTCGAACGGTGTTCGCATGTGAATCCAGTGGCTGGAGTGCGAGGCGAAATTCGTAGAAATATATTATAGAGTAATAACAGTACACTCTGTTTTAGAAACAAATCTACTAAACTTTACTGTTAATAATAATTTATTTTAACCATTTAGTCGTTATGGCGATTTCAAAAAAATCTATAGGTGTGTTACTATAATTATGTGGAACAAACAATTATGAACAGTGGACGGATCTGTACGCATCTGTATGCGTAGCGAACTATTCAATTTGAACCATAAAAAACAAATTGTAATATGCAACGTTCATTATGAGCTGCAGGCCGTCTTCATCTTTTCAAAACAAAAAAATAATCATCGAAATTCGACCATTCCATACGAAGGATGTGTGTTTTTCCTGTTAAGAATGTTTTTTGAGCCAAAAAATACGCCACTTAATACAGTATATGTAAACAAAACAAAAATTAGCAGGATCTGATTGGGGAAATAGGAAATTTGTGTCAAAACAGTATTTCGAAACGTTTGTATGTGTGTGTGTACATATAATATATATATATTTATTTATTTTACGTGATTATACATTTATATACCGTTACAATATTTTTTTTTTTATTCACGACACAGTACGCACAAATTGGTGTAGTAGTAGTAGTAGTAGTAGTAGTAGTAGTAGTAGTAGTAGTAGTAATAATAGTAGTAGGTATAGTAGTAGTAGCGATTCAGCGATCGGTTATAAACATATTTTATCAACGTGTAAATACTTAATAGTAAATAATATAATAATATAATCATACCGAGTGCCGTATTTATCTCACTAAACATCATCATATTATAAATAATTTAAATAAATTGTTTAATCAAATTCGCGCGCTCGTGCGTGTACAATAATTGTTTATGTATATATATATATATATATTTAATAAATTGTATAACATAAATTATATAATAATAATATATATTCATGAAACATTAACGATTATGCGTAACAAATTGCATATTATTATTATACCTATAATGATAATAGTACATTATTTTAATATTAGTTTGTAAAAAAAAAAAAAAATTATCGATTTTCGATCACATTTTTCTTCTGTATGTCAGCCCCCCTACCCCTCGTCTATCGTGGTAGGTGTTATATATTATTAAATCTATGGTTAACAAAAAAATAAAAAAAATGAAAATACATTTACATCGTGTACTCCTTATACTCTTGCTCTTCCTCTTTTGACTGCCAAAATAGCTTTTTAAAAACTTTTCTGGAGTTATGCGTAACATAATAACAATGTTGTAGTTCTTATGGCCCGCCATCCAGTGATTATTTCAGGGGCGTAATGCTCCACGGAAAAAACTATTATCCCCCCTCCCTGGTTCTATATATATAATATACGAATTAAAATGATATCAACTATTTTCTGTAACAATGTTAATTTCTTCTTCGACTCTTGTCATCTATTTAATATTTCACAATAGTGTTTATCAACAGATGCAAATACTATTCAATCTATGAGAATATGAAAGCAGTATGTAGATCACGTAACTATCTGTCATTTCATGTTCCATATAAACTACAATAAAAAAAACAAATCAAGTCGTAAGTGATTAATTTAATGTTTTAATAATAACGTCGTTTTTGGAACTTAAAGTCAGAAATAAACATTACCACCACCACCTACACATGACATTCGTATTTATTTGAAAATCATATCCATGATAATAATAATATATAAATATATCAACAGTCTACGATATGCGGGGAAAAAACTCGACTTTAACTTCTTTATTTTTTCAAATTGTGGATCAAACGGTTGACCAATGACCAGACGAAATCAAAAACAGGCAAACACTGGAATAAATTATTACACTTTATAAGTACATAAATATATTGTATATACAACTATATAATATTGGAACTTATTGAACTATATAATAATATAATTCTAGTCGTGAAAATATTTAATAACAATAACAATATGTAGGCATAGACGCTGTGGCAATTTTTTCGAATCGTACAGAATCAAAATTGTTATGCCAAAGCATAGCCATAATCGTGGTTAAATATAACTATATAAGTAGAAAACAGATTACAGTAAAACCAATACATTCTTGCTACATTCAGAATCTAAAAATAAATTGCATAATTGTATAATTAAAGAATATAGCTAAACTAATGTTTATTCGGTGTGATGTGGAGCGGGTGATGTGGGTGATGTACTAGCCATTAAAATTACTACTCCGATTAAATTTAGAGTATGCGTTAGTGATGGTCATATCGTCATTTACAATATTAATTACGACATGTTTTAGTTGCGAACTGTTCATGAACAAATTTAAATTTCACAGAAAAAAACTCGGCTGGTAGTAATGTTTATCATTATGTTAGTATGTAATTTATAATATATGTCGCTGTGCAAATCCGATCAATAAAAATCCATCAAAATAATCGAAATAACCAATAAAATTAAAGATTTGGAGGTAGAGGTTGCATGCCACTGATACCTATAGCTATCTAGCATTGGGTATAATAAAATCATCAAATCATCAGTAAACCGCGCACAAAATCGAACAATTTTAATAAATCCGTAGAATATTACATTATTCAATAACGCCCGCGTCTTGAATCTATATCGACATGCAAGTAATATTATAAATATAACAATTATTATTATTTTCTATAATTATATTGTTATAAACAATGGATAGGTTGTGGGAGAAATACAACGATATTTCCAAAAGCTAAAACGCGCGACTTGTAAAATCAAAAATATAAATGTAAAGCGTACACAGAACATTACGAGCGAATTTGTAAATTGAGCTCATCTTAAAGTGAACAGGTATAGAAAATACTTTTAGAGTACATAAATCATTTTTACCCGACATTTTTTGATTTATATTATGAGTGAAGTAGTGTTGTTTGTGCCTATCATTTATTCACCTTACTTATATTAGTGATATACCTATACGAAAATAATATATCTTTTTATCTTTGCCTTTATTTTGCCTTCAACACGTCCCTGTCCATCGCAATTTTTTTTATTTACTCCGACCATATCTCCCTAAACTATGCTGGCCTATAACACTTCCAGACTTCCGCAGACTGATATATTTTTAAAATTTAATCATTCCTCCACTCTCAAAAACAGCTATGGAGTATTCAAAATAATATTATACATGAAAAAAGAAATCCAGGGACATAATTTACTGTTCATAGAAATGCATAGTTTAAAATAATTTGAGTGCAATTTAAATGTTTGCTCCCATTTATCCATTTAGAGAGAAAGAGAGAGAATCTTCATGGAACGAGAGTGAAAGAGATATACAGTTCGACGAATTCACCGTAGGGTTTCAAATCAGTAGAGCCGATCTTAGATACCAATAATTAAGGTAGATTTTTAGTGGATCGGGTGGGTTGGTTGGTGAATGGTAATCAATGACCTGTCTAAAGTATAAAATACCCAATAATAAAAACCTAATAGGAGAAAATTCGATAAAAATTGTTTTTAAGTAGATGAGTGGTAGTTGGTAGGTATAGGTTTCCTTCACATTTTCCCCTGCAGAACATGAACATGATCGGCGCCACTGGTTTTTAAATTATATTAATATAATAATGTTCAATTTTATAATATTATTTCCCTCTTATAATGTGAATAAACCGTTTTAATAAAACTATCAATTAGATATATGACGCGCAGTGGACTTTATTTTCTCGTGCCAATTAGAGTATTAAAACGATATATTGTATTTAGGTATAAATTATATATTACTTGTATTACAATAATTATAAGCGGGTGAGTGTTTCGCTGCAGTGACTTAAATACCATAAACATATGCGGTACTTTCTAAACAATATATTATAGGTACTACAATATTTACGAGTATTATAGATTAGAAGCACTAGGATTTTTCATATACCGTTTTAGAAAACATCGATCTATATATTATAATTATTTCTAAGATGTCTATACCGAACCGAATCCGAAAATTTCGACTCGTCTCTCTGATGAGTGCATACAAATATAATATTTTGCAAGTGTGATAAAAAAACGAAAACAAATCGTATTGAGCGCTAGTCGTATCGAGAAATCTGCGGCCGTTGTGCAGTATGATTGGATTCAATACACAATTGGCATTTCGTTAACGAATTTAAACCGTGGCCGAAAGTGACAGAAAACACGTTTTAGAAAATCGACTCAGCCGAATGCAGGTATACGAAATTATGCAAAACTTGGTTCGAGAGTAATCGTACGGACATAATATTAGACTAAAAGAAAAAAACCGATTAATTGGCTGGGCCAATGACCAAAAAAAATAAATAATTGTATAAAAGTATAGGTATAGGCACGTGCAGTGAATACGGCCATATTGTTCGGAAAACATTATTGAGAAAACGAATTTTGTTCTCATGCTCGTTTACGTTACGTCTTATAAGTACAAAAATAATACACATTATATATAATATGTATGAAAACTCGACGAAGAGACCTAGAGAGCCCATATACTATGTACGAGAGTGATGGTAGTTCACGTAATGTGTGCTGATTGGTTGAGCTATTATCTATATTCATGGACCGCCATATTGTATCCTGCATTGAACTATTATTGATTTTTCATAAAAATAATACAGTTTGCCTCAGTTATATATTATAATTTTATTTGGATAATATGCTTGGTATATTATAATATTATTTGGATGATATACTTGGTACATTATAATATTGCATGTATAACAGTGTAATTATTTGTCGTTGGATACAATCTGGAGATCCATTAAATAATGGTAAGTTGAGTTCACCATCACATTCTCTTATGAGAATTACTAGTGAGATTTATTCCATTAATTTAACTAATGAGTCAATATTATATTGTACTTGTGTTATTATTATTTGTAGTTATTTATTACTTTACATTGTATCTATTAATGTTAATATTCCCATAAGTCTGACCAATCATGTATAATCTGGGTCTCATCCCGTTATATAAATGTTATATAAATTAAATTTAAATAATGTATTATATATAATGTAATAGTATAAGGGCTCTCAGAATGATGAGGTAGAAAAAGAAAAACATTTCACGTTGAAATAGAACG